GGTAGTAACTTCATCAAGGGCTTCACTGTCTCCCTTCTCAAAACCGAGTAGAGTTTCTTCTTTGACAGTGGTTTTTTCAGGTGACACGTCTTCGGCAGCATCATTTGTTCCATTGTTCACTTCGTTCCAACTGAAATGTCCTGTACCATGATAATGCCAAAGCCTGTTGGCATGCACCACTTTTGGCTTACCTCACCGACCACATTTTAATCGGAAAGTCACGTCTGAGAGACGATCCACTATCTCATATGGGCCTTTCCATGGAGAAGACAACTTAGGAGACTTCCCTTTGGTTTTCCTGGGATTATACAACCACACCTTGTCTCCTGGTATAAAGCTGACTTCAGTAGATCACTTATCATAATATAGCTTCATGGAATCAGCAGACATTTTTAAGATTGAACGCACTTGATGGTGAATATCTATCATCCATTCATATAACACTTTCACGAACTCTGACACATTTTCAGGCAACTGTTCGTAAGGGGGGGGGGGCGTCCTGTTATCAGATCCACTGGCAACCGAAGTTCCCAACCAAACATCAGCTTTGCTGGAGTGTATCCAATGGCTTCATTCGCTGCTGTTCTATAGGCCATCAACAGTGGAGGGAGTAAGACATCCCAGTCATCTTGGCAGTTATTACGAAACTTTGCCAAATCCTGTCCCAGTGTCCAGTTGTACTTTTCTACCATCCCATCAGATTGTGGGTGAAGTGGCGTTGTCCTGGTCTTTCGTATGCCCAACAAATTGCAGCATTAATGGAATACAGCTGATTCAAAGTTATGGCCTTGATCCAAATGCAGTTCGTATGGTATACCAAACCAGAAGAATAAATCACTAATAGCCGAAGCTACAGTTGTAGCTTCCTGATTTTGTATTGCATATGCTTCAGGCCACTTGGTGAAATACTCCATCACCACTGAAATGTACTTGTTTCCAGCACGAGTTTGGGCAAAGGACCAGCAAAGTCAACAGCTACTCTTTCCATTGGTGTGCCAACTTGATATAACTTCATTGGAGCACTTCTTTTATGCTTGAATCCCCTTTTAGCACAACATGTACTATAGGTCCTGCACCATTCTTCCACATCTTGTCTCATACCTATCCAGTAAAATCTCTGTCGTAGGTGACTCAATGGCTTCTTAACTCCGAGATGTAATCCTGTTAAACTATCATAGGACTGATGCAGTACAACTTCCTATAACTTTCTCGGTATAACTGGTTGCCAGGTCGTCACTTTCCCATCTGCAGTTTCCCATCTCCAGACAAGAATACCATCTTCAAGCTTCAACTGGTCCACAATACACTTGTTTTTAGAAAATCAATTATTGGCCTCAAATCTTGGTCTTTCTCCTGCTCTGCTTTAACATCTATACCTGGTTCCACTTAACCATCATTAACTCCTTCAGTCACTTCAACTTCAGATTGATGGCATCTGGTTAGTTCAACCTCTCTTTTAACACTTACTGGAACTTGGCCTTTGTTGTTCCCAATCGTCATTTTATCGAAATTCACACTACACACTTCCTTGGTAGTAAGTAGTCCAACCTTAATATGCATTGGTCTTCAATGTCAGCCAAGTAGACTTTGTGTCTGTCATTCATGCCCATGAGCTCAACAGTTACCTGCACCAGTTCCCACAACCTTGTATAATGTCCTGTCACACCATAGAGCTTCTGTCTGGCTTCTGGTACTCCTTTGTGATCCAGCACCTTGATACTCACAAAGGTTTGCTGAGATGCAGAATCTATGACAAAGTTGCACCTTTGGCCATCCAGCTTTCTTGTCATGTAGACACTATGAGTGCCTGCCATTTTACACTTAGCTGTTTGGTCTTTCACGATGGGGTTTGGTGGGCATCTCTCAACACTCACCACTACTGGTTTCCTTGAGGCTGACTTATTTGTAATATTCTTCTTACACTGGCTTCTCATATGTTCTTTCTCTCCACAGTTCCAACACCCTTTCTGGGTAGCAGCCTTTCCTGCCATGGCATCTTTCCTGTATGGAAGTTTCCGGCATTGAGCTTTCTTGTGCTCAGGGTTGTTACAGTGCCAGCAAAGTCCCTCAAACCTCTCTGAAAGCTGACCTTTTCTGGCCTTGAATCCTGATGACTGTACCAACTTTGGTACCTCTATGCTGGACTTAACCTAGGATTCGAATTCAATAGCTCTGGCAGTTGCATCCTGCATAGTAAAGGGGTGTGTTTACTTTACTTGTATCTTCAATGTTGGACTGTCCAAGGCATCGACAAACTGATCCCTCAGCAACAGCTTGAAGACATCGGGTGGTGCAGTTGGGTAGGCCTTGTGTGCCATACTTTCCAAATCCTGTGCCAGCTCTTGCAGGCTCTCCCCTTTAGCACAGACTCTCGTCCTAAACCTTGCCCTGTAGACTTCAGACAGATTTTGAGTTCCATACTTGAGTTCTAGAGCAGCTACCAGTGCTCTATAGTTGTGCTTGTTGTCTGCTGACAACTGTCCAAGTATTTCCAGTGGTTGTCCCTTCAGGCTTGTTGCCAGGAACACTGCCTTTTGTTCCTCTGTCCATCCATTCATTTCTGCCAGGAGCTCAAATTGTGCTCTATATGCTTCTCATGGTGCCTTCCCATCGACTTCCTGTCGCTTCCTTCGTACTAGATCACCCCTATTGCTGACACTCATGTCTGGAATGCCACTTCTGGCATGACTGAAGATGTTTGCATTAGGGTTTAGCTGCGGGGTCTGGAAGGGGCTTCCTGTTGTCTGGGGCTGATTAGGTCCATGGCTAATATATCCTCCTTGTGTAAAAGACAGTAAATTGTATTTAATTCACTTTGAAGTTTACTAATATTTTCCATTTGTGTATGCTGGCTTTCTCTCAACTGTTGGAGACTTTCTTCTTGTTTATTTTCTTTCTCCTCCAACCACTGCTGTAGTCTCTCTTCTTGTTCATTTTCTATCTCCTCCAACCACTGCTGTAGTTTCTCTTGTTTATTTTGATGTTCAAGCTGCCACCGTTGCAGGTTTTCTTGCCACTGCTGTTGTTTCTCTTCTTGTTTATTATCTCGTTCTTCTTGTTTCTTTTCTTTTCCTCCAACAACTGCTGTAATCTCTGTTCTTGTTTCTTTTCTTTTCG